GGCTTTAGTGCTTTATGGGTGTTGATTTGGATCGTTGTTATTTTATGCCTTTCTGACACCGTAGTTCATGTTCGTTCTTTCTATTGCTTTTTGAGGGCTATGCACGATACTGCCTCCATTTGCGGCAATGGGTATGCTACTTCTAGTTGAAAACAGCTTCTGAGCGCGACAGACGGGAACTCCTACTAAGAGTTGGCTTCTGTTTTGCTCTTGAAGGCTCTCACCTCGCTACTATTTTTACCAGCTTTTTTTTATCCTTTTTAAAATACAAGGTTGACCCTCAGGGATGGGCGTTAGGGTTTAAAAACCCCAATGAAAAGCCGAAAGCCAGTCTAATACCTTGACCTGCGGAAGATATAGGGGAGTATCCATGAGTGGAGGTGATTTTTTTTCTATTCAGCCCGCTTTGTTTATACTTTGTTAACAGGAAATCATTCTCCTTCAGAATATTCTGCATTTCGCATTTTGTGCCTATTCTTGCTCGCATATCTGTACTCTTTGCCGTAAGTAGCCACCCCCTGCTTGGCTGTCACTCTCGATTCAGCCGTCGTTCAACTGAAATGTGCTGCCTGCGGCTCATTTAACACCGAAGGTGTCAAATAGCTACGTGTATTGCGAAAACCACCTGCCTGGACATTCATTATCGTTCCAAATGTGACTGACTAATGGAAATTGCAAAAAAGTCTCAATATTTCAACTTTCCAAAGTGCTACATTTTCCAAAATATTCCTCGAAGCTAGAATATCATTCCGTCCAGGGCAATCATCTGATGGTCTCTTTTAATATTTGCTCGGGATTCCAATTAGACAGAGTATTCGTACGAATGAATTCCCGGTCTCTGCTATGCTCGTCAACCTTTCTCTCATTCCGTATTATCTCTTGAAAAACGTCTCCTTCTGAGCTCCAAATGACTCTTCATTTTCGTATTCAATTACGTGCAATATGCGGAAGCATCCTCTCTTATGAAGTCGTCACTCAGGCGTATGACACGTCTTTTGTTCTTCTTGAAGCTTGTCACTCTTCAGATATCCAGTGAAGCCGATGACAGTATTGTTACTTACAACCTACTACTTGTGAATATCTTATAGGTCTCTCCTTATTCGGCTGGCTCCATTGTAGCGAGCGCTTGTCTCCTGTTACCTTCGCTTTTTTGCTTAGAAGGCAGTCAAGTTTTATGTTTCTGCTCATCATCTTGACATTCTGAAGCATTCAGTGCTCTGTATCCCTTTTTCCTTGTTGGACCCACGCTGTTGGGGTTGAAAAGTCAGAATGGTCAGATTGACTCCAGGCAATATTTGTTTTGGGTGTCTTCAACCTAGCTACACCTGGAATTTTCTCTGGCATAACGTTTTATTGGTTGCTTTTTGAATAGAAAATCCATTAGAATAATGAGAAAACCATTCAATGAAAGCGAAGAGAAAATACAAAAAGTATTTACGTAAAAACCGTCCCCTCACTACCATTCGTCCCCATTACTACGTACATAAACGTCACCGCCATTCTGACTGGAAATTGGACTCTCGGACTGATTTGAAGAAGGACGAAAAACTTCATTTTAATGTTGGGCTTATCGTTTTCAGTAACGAACACTAGCGATTTTTTTTGTGGAAAAAGTGCTAGAAGGGCGTTTTTCAGTGACTGAATGCTCTATCGTGCACTTCATTAATGCAGTCTTTCCTCTCTCTGAGAAGTTATCCTCATGTGGGGTGTGATTTCATCAAGCAGTGACTCGTTCATTAATTGTTTCGCGAAAGCATTCATTAAGTTGCCCACACAGCTATAGCTAAGCTAATATGAACGACAAACTTGTGACATTCATCCTCTTTTTTGAGTCCTTATCATGACAGAGATGATGTCATCTTCCTGATCCTTATCGCATAGCAACATGGGTTTTTTTTNTTTTTTTTCTGACAGAACAAGTTTCGCAATTCGAAAACTACAATGATCTATTACATTCTCAACTATTCGATTTTTTGGAAAAGCACCGAAATCAGCCATAGGTTTTAAAAACCAATATCGTTGAAGTTGCTTGAGCATGTGAGAGGGTAGAAGGGCTTTCTCAGTGATTTACTTTCAAGTTCGAGTTTACATCTTGAGAAATATGAAACGAGGGAGTTCTTCAAAGGATGGGGTGAGGGCGGGAATTAGCCCAAAGTCTGCTATTAAGATCAAGGAGTTATTCTGAAGGTCCCCAGACATAAGTTCAGTTTGTCATCCACCGCTACATATTAGCGCGAAGGATTCTAGACCAGAGTTTCAGACGCTTTTTAGAGTGGCAACTGTAGCGCTAGTAAAGTGAATCTCAAGTGTCCCGAAGTTAAGAAATAACAACCAATGGCTGTTCCACCCAAAAATTCTTTTGGTTTCTGTGATCGTCAAGAGTTGGGAAGTTTTATATGGGAATACAGGCTAGGTTGCAGTGTTGACCATTGCGTTCGGTTCTCGCCTACGTCATCGTCCTTGTTTTGAATGACGTTCTTTGAAAGTTAAGGTTTACGATCGTTGTGGCGGAGGTTCGAAATTGTCGCCGTCACTCTTCGCCCTGGAATCATTCACTCCTTCTCACATCCTTCCAGTAACTTTGTTCTTGGTACAGTCTCTATCCTGAATATCCTCCAGTTCATCATCACATGGATGAGAAGCTTGCCCTAAGATTCGTTCTAGGTGTTTTCCTTCCAATGCGTTTGCCCTTCATGTGGAATGGTAAAAAAGCAGTTCACACCGGCTTTGCTTTTCTTTACGCTTTCACTTTTCTTTTTAAATGCCCGAACTTTCTTTCATTTTTTTCCATTATGTTCTTCTTTCATCCAAACGTACGAACATGTAATGCCGTATAAGCTTCTCGAGATCTTACTGGCGAGCTGTACTGATTCATCTGATAGTATAAGTAGATAATCGTCTCAAGAGTGCACTTGTTGTGAGATAATGAAATCAGAAGGCGTTTAACGAATTAAGGGACTCATTCCGGGGAAACTAGGGAAAGGTGATTATGGTTCCCATACTCATTCCATTATCCGAAGGCCTGCTTGGGGGATTTCTGAGGTGACGGCAGCTTCTAGGCCTATTGTATATGCCATACTTAATGAAACTTACTAAGACTTTCTAAAAAATCTTGTTTGCAAAATTATCGGACACGAGCAGGAAGGTAACGAAGTTCTGTTTGGACTGTTTTCGAAAAAATTTCAGTTCGGTCTCTTGTCTCCAGTTGTTTGGGGTTTTAGGTCGGCGAATTGCGAGTTGTTGGGTGGAAGTGTAAGAGGGCAGCTTGAAAATTCGCTGAGGGAGATGCTTTCCCTCTGTCCACTTCTTGCTCATCGTAAATCGACTTTAAAAAAATTACGTCGTTTTTCAACGGGTGAGGAGCATCATCTCACGTGATGTTCTTAGATGGAATTAGGGGAAATAGTCTTTTACCGCCTAGGTGTTGATTCACATTAAGGGGGTGAATATACACATACATTAGGTAATAAAAATCGTCTTATAAAACACTGAATGATATTGAATTTTCATAACGTTTTACTCTGGATCGCCTGGACTTTTTTATGTTTACTCTAGTGCATCGCTGCAATGGGGCAACAGCTGGAATGCTCATAATAGCTGTTTGGTCAAGGTCTTACCTATAATTTTAATTTTGTTAAATATTACAACCGAGGAGGATGTGGTGTAGTGACAAGTGGCGCACAATCCGAACGCGTGGTCATGGGTTGGAATCCCGGCACGATATCAGCCTTGGCTAGCCATGTCTTCCATACCTCCAGAGTCGGTTAATTGTTACTGGACTTGTCTGGGAGGAGAGGAGCACTGATTTGTACATTGGCTGGCAACTGCAAGTCATTGTATAGGCCACATACACATTCATTACGCCACTACGATTCTGAATGGAAGTCAAATGCGGGGGCGCATCCCTCAGACGGGATTAATTAACACCAGAAGACTTTATCCTTCATCTTTCATTATATGACTGAAAACTGAGCTCGAACAAGCGAAATGCAGACTCCTTTGTATTTGT